GTGGATGTTTAAGCCACTGAATCCGAGACTCGAACCGTGGCTGACTACATGGGAGTCCAGCGACATAGCCATTACGCTAACTGCTGGTCCAAAACTATTTTCACATTTTGAAGGCTGTTGATTCACACTGATTATCGAGTCCTTGGCAGTGCAGAAATTCCTTAATCTGATGTAATCCCACTTGTTTATATTTGGGATTATTGACTGTGCTTTGGTGTTCTTATTTTAGAAGTCTTTGTTTACCCCCAATGTCTCCCAGAATTTCCTCAGTGTTTTCCAGCTGTAATTTTACAGTTTGAGATCTTAGATTTAGATCTTTGATCCACTTCGAGTTGATTTTTGTCAATGGTGAGAAGTAGGGGTTCAGATTCATGTATCTTCAGATTCATGTATCTGCAGGGGGATATCCAGTTTTTCCAGCATCATTTGCTAAAGGTTTTTTTTTTTCTTTTCTTTTCACCACTGGATTGTCTGGTAGTCTTTGTTAAAAGAAAAAAATCAGTTGGCTAGGACAACTAGCCTAAAGCTTGGGGGAAATGACTCTCCTCTGGCCTAGCCCCACACTCCACTGCCATTTCCTTCCACCTTTGCCCCACTTGGTGTTTATTATTATTATTATTTAAGACCTTTATTAACAGGTGCTTGCAGTTTGTTGACTTTTTTTTTTTTTAAATCAAGTTGTTAACTTTTATTACAAATTAAAAATGAAGTTCTTAAAAATCTCAACTTGACCAGATATGAAACAATTTATAAACCTTTAAAGGTGTATTGAGAAAAACCAGGCTTTTTTTAAAAAAACAAAACAAAACAAAACAAAAACACGTTTATCATTACCAAAAAGAGACATCTTTAGGTAAAAATAATAAAAACCCCATGGTGCATATATAATGCAGATAGTTCTAGTTATCTGGTCAATGGGCAAAAAGCAAGCACTTATTAGCTCCAATCTTTTGTTCATTTCTGATTGCTGGAATTTCATGTTCACTTCTTGTGGGATGACTAAACCGGTGATGGTAGAGATGGTAAACTGGCATTTACTCAGCCCCGCCCTGCTCAGCCTTGGGAACGGACGAATTCTCAGCTGGTGGATCGGCTGCTTTTGTCTCTTTGGCATCGTTTAAAGACACACGGAGTGAATGACGCAAAGTCCAGGTCGCCAGACTCTCTGGGCCTGGTCGGCCCCTTGGCCCAGCCTCTCAGTCCCAGGCTCTGTCCACCGCCAGCAGTCTGAGCCGACACACTGGCTCTCTCCCACAGCAAGTGGCCCGCCTGCGGAGGCCCGCGGGCTGGTGCGTTTAGCCCGGCTGTGGGAGCACGCCACAGCCCCGACTCGGGGCTCTGCGTGGGCGGCGGGCTAGGACCTGTACAGTGCCTACGATCATACAGTGCTACCAATGCAGAAGGCTCTTGTGAAGACTGACTTTCAGATAGCTCTTCCTCCTGAGTGTTAGGGAAGAGTAGCTCCAAGTTCTGGCTTGGTGCAAAACACTTCATAGATGTAGGAGCTGGTGTCATGAAGGTTATAGGGGCAATGTTGGTGTTGTACTGTTTAATTTTGGCAAAGAAAAGTTTGAGGTCAAAAAAGGTGACCGAATTACACAGCTCATTTGTGAACGAATTTTTTACGCAGAAATAGAAGTTCAAGGTTTGGATGATACTGAACGGAGTTCAGAAGGTTTGGGTTCCACTGAAAAGAATTAAAATTTATTCTATAAGCAGAAGATGAGAAAAAAATTTTTTAGCTCAAAAGGTTTTGCTTAAAGTGTTTTGTATTTCTAGCTTTAACTTTGAAAAACATTTTGTTTTCTTATGAGTAAGGACAGGGCACCTTTAGGATCACATAAATACTCCCGTGTTTTTCTACTGTGGACAGTTATTTGTAAATCTACTTTGTGGTGAACTAATGCAGAGTGATGTTTTGTTTTGTTTTGTTAGTTTTAATAAAAAAGCTGTATTTAACTCAGTAAATGGTACCCCTTTAGCAATGTCTTTTATTTAAAAAAAATAAACTGTGCTTTTTATTCAATAAACTTATGTTCTTTTGCAAATGAGAATTACTGTACAAGCTGAACGAAAAGAAATAAATAAAAAGAAGCTAAAGTTAAAAAAATCAGTTGGCTATATTTTTGGAAGTTTATTTCTGGGGTCTCTTTTCTGTTCTATTGGTTCACCTGCATGTTTCTGTGCGAATACCATGTTGTTTTGATTATCACATCTTTGTAGTATATTTTTGGGTCAGGAGTGAGATGCCACCCACCCTACTCTTCTTGTGCAGGATTGCTTTGGCAAGATGAAATCTTTTTATGGTTCCCGAAAAATTGTATGATTGTCTTTTCTAGATCTTTGAAGAATATCTCTCATACTTTGATTGGGATTAGTTAAATATGTAGACTAATTTGGTTAGAATTGCCATTTTGCTTATATTAATTGTTCCAATTCTGGAACATGGGATGTCCTTCTACTTTTTTTGTGTCATTTTCAATTTCTGTTTTTCAGCTTCTCATAGTTTTGCTTGTGGAACTCTTTAACTTCTTTAGTTAGATTTATTCCTAGGTATCATACATATGTGGCTATCGTAAATAGAATAATTTTTTCATTCGATCTCAGTCTGCCTACTGTTCATATATAGAATAGT